GTCTGCATTTTTTTTTGATTGTTAAATTCACATTTTACCCGTCGAAGACTGTGGTTTTTTTTTTCCAAGGCTCGCAATTTTTTTCATCGTTTAGCCAGAGATCTTTTTTTAATTTTATTATTTTTTTTTTTTACTATGTTCATCCTGGCTTTTTTTTTTCCATATTCTCAACCCTTGTAATATTATCATAGCGATGATTTTTTTATATCATAAATGCATTTCTCATCCCTCTCATCTCGTCCTTCTCCACCAGCCTGCCTCCTATGTGACCTGCCAATAACTGCCCACGCGTTTGACGTTCTGTTAGTATGAATGACTTTGAATTTAACTGTACGTGTTTTTTTTACAAATAAGATTTTTAAACAAATTTACTCGAGAGCGGGGTTTTTTTTTAATTTTACATACATTTGTGGCGTTTGAAATATGTGATGAGTTTGGCTATTTTCGCGAAATATTTCAGAGAACGAAGACTACTCCATTTTTTTTACTCAAATACATTCATTGGCGAATAATAAAATATAACAGATTTTTTTTCACGGCATAAACGCAGAAAATGAAAACAAATAAGATTGCTTTTTTTACACTTTTTTACGACATGTAAGAAAAGCAGTTTTGATTTTTTTTTTTTATTTAAAAAAACACCGGTGGTAAAGTGAGGTTTTACTGATTTTTTTATGACTTCTAACCTTTTGCTGATAGCAGTTTAAAGGAAGCATAATTCCTCAACAGTGATTTAACACGTGGATTGAGTTTGTTGTTGGTTCTCGTCCTTCCTCCAAGGGTTTTTCTCCAGGTCCTCCGACTTAAAAACCAACATTCCAAACTTCAGTTCTACCTTAAAACAATAGACAAGAAGAGCCTCCTCGTGCATATCCATTGCTAAATTCCTATTGCCAATTATTAAAAACTGGATCATTGGATAATGCAACTCAAGAATTTTTGTTGGCCTAGCCATTATGGTATATGGGCCAATATACCATAATCTACAAATATGGTAGGCGTACGCGTCAGCTTAAAATCAAAAGGGAGCTAAAAAATCCGGTTTCTTCTTACAAAATAATTATTTCTTGGCGGCGTTTTTAATAAAACAATTATTCCACTCGCACTTGTTGGATATGAGATGATTATAGCCAACTCGGCGCTACGCGCCTCGTTGGCTATCTATCATCTCATATCCAACGCGCGCTCGTGGAATAATTGTTAATTATACTCCTCCACTATGGAAGTAATGAGCAGTTTGCCTAAGAACAGAACACAATGACTCGGCTAGGTCTCGAACTACAATCCCAGACACATTTGTTGCGACACATACCGCCTTACCTGCCTCTCTAAATGTTGGTTTGCAAGATGGCATGGATCCGTGAGAGACATTGGCGTTTAACAACGTTGGATGAGGGAGTGGGGTGAAATAATCTCCAATACGTTGTTCGAGAGAGGTTTCCTCTGTCTGTGAGTGCTCGAGCAAGAGTTCAGTGCAGTAACGATAAGGCCACTACGTCCCCCAAATATTAGGGACCTNCAAATGAAAACAAATAAGATTGCAAACCTGACACTTTTTTACGACATGTAAGAAAAGCAGTTTTGATTTTAAAAGCATATTTAAAAAAACACCGGTGGTAAAGTGAGGTTTTACTGATTTTTTTATGACTTCTAACCTTTTGCTGATAGCAGTTAAAAGAAAGCATAATTCCTCAACGGTGATTTAACACGTGGATTGAATTTCTTGTTGGTTCTCGTCCTTGCTCCAAGGGTTTTTCTCCAGGTCCTTCGACTTAAAAACCAACATTCCAAACTCCAATTCCACCTGAAAATAGTGGACAAGAAGAGCCTCCTTGTGCATGTCCATTGCTAAATTCCTATTGCCAATTATACTCCTTCACTATGGAAGTAATGAGCAGTTTGCCCAAGAACAGAACACAATGACTCGGCTAGGTCTCGAACTACAATCCCAGACACATTTGTTGCGACACATACCGCCTTACCTGCCGCTCTAAATGTTGGTTTGCAAGATGGCATGGATCCGTGAGAGACATTGGCGTTTAACAACGTTGGATGAGGGAGTGGGGTGAAATAATCTCCAATACGTTGTTCGAGAGAGGTTTCCTCTGTCTGTGAGTGCTCGAGCAAGAGTTCAGTGCAGTAACGATAAGGCCACTACGTCCCCCAAATATTAGGGACCTAAAGCAGTCAGGACAGTAACACTGAGGAAGACGTCGATTAAAAAATTAATTTCTATTTTTATCCAGAATTTCGAAAATGGCTGCATGCGTTTACCGTCTCTTACGGTGCCACACCTCAACGTCTTCATAACGTATCTGAGTAGCGTTGAGTTTCAAATGGAAATTTTACAAAAAATTTGCCGTCGCGGTTTCCGTTCGCAGGCAACGCAAATTTTGGTGATTTCACGTTCTTGTTTTGCATAGGACGGCTAAGGAATGTAAAAAGTTTTAAACCGCACGTGCTGAGCTATTATTCGGCCCATTAG